GTGTTTTCTCGTGGTCTGTCTCTCTGTCTCTTTCTGTCTTTCTGGTGAGCACACGCGCCTTATAGCAAAAACCTCTCCAAAAAAAAAAAGTATTGACAATAACAATACCTACTTGAGTTGTTGTGGAGATTGGATCTTTAACAGAAAAAGGACTGGGAAAAACGTTGCATGTAAGAAGTACCCATGGAAACTGGGCGCCATTATTAGCAACCGAGTGTTGGGGGAGATGGAGGTGAGGCAACGCGCTCCCCCACAGCCCCGGCAGGCGAAGCAACACGGGTCTCAGCAGGCTTTCTCGCCAGTGGCTTGGAAGCTCTTAACATTTCTCTGCAGTCTCTGTGACTGCATCCACTCCTTCCCTGCACCTGGCAACTGCAGTCAAAGTTTAACTTTAGGCCCTGGCAGGTGGCATGGCCGGAAGGGCGCTGGACTCCCACATGGCCGACCATAGTTTGATTCTCAGACCTGGCGGTTTCCTTTCTCACTCTCTCCCATTCTGTCTCTCTCCGGTCAAATTAAAATAAATAAATAAGTAAAATTAAATAATTCTTTAATTTTTTTTTTTTAAAAGCCTAACTGTAGATTTTTCTAAAATACTAAAGCTGGTTGTAGCTTTAAACTACAGGCCCTGGGGCCGGCAGGTGGCATATTGATTAAAGTGCTGGATTCCCGCACACATGGCTGATTGCACTTCTGGTGCCGGATCTGATGGTTTAAAAATCATTCCAGGCACATGTGCATGTGTGCCCAAAATCCCAGGAGGAGAATTGAGGAGAAGGGATTGAAGTGTGGCCCTCCCTGACGGGGGTCGGGGGTGTAAGAAGGTGGGAGGCTGTGGAGGGGTCGGGGGGGATTTCTTACTTTCCCTCTCATTGTCTCTCTCTGCCCCTCTCCTCCCAGGTGAGCATACGCGCCCTATGGCAAAAACCTAAAAAACAAAATGAAACTACAGGCAATTCTCTTAACTGCTCACCATTCTCAAAATTAAGTCATCAAGCGAATTGGTCAACAAAGAGGAGCTTAAAGGCTTGTGTCCTGTCTGGGGTCACAGGGTGTGTATTTTTCAATAGGTGTCATGTGACACCTCACTAGAATAATGAATTCTACACGGAAACCCCACGTTAGATACGCACCAGAAAGCGGCAAGAAACACAACACAGCAACACAAACCTGGCGTAGATCGTTTTTATTTATTCTGAACTACCATGAGAACACAATAAAGCACGCATTTGTAAATGAAGTACTAGTCTTGTGACTGCAGACGCCCGCTGTGGCCAACACTGACCCACCGCAGGAGACAGAACGGCCCGGCCGTCCCTGACTCCCAGGACTGGGGAAGGGGATGCCCAGGCTGGAGAGCGGGCAGTGCCCACAGTCGTTGACAAGCCGGTCGTTAAGCGGGGAGGCGAGGTAAGACCCACAGGCTCTGGCTTACTTCCTGCATTCAGCAATTCACAAGGGAGCTGCCCCACCGGAGCCAGTTTCCCGGAATCTCTCCCCTAGCCTTCCGCCTCCCTCCCAAGTGATTCACGATAATGCTTTTCCCGTCAGTGAGACTCCTCCTACCGTGACAAGCCCCACTGCAAGCCTAAAGCCGGCGACAACCAATCCGGGCCACTCCGAGCTAATCCTGATGCCCAGCCAGGTGGAGGGCAGGGGCGGAGAGGCAGCCGCTCATCACCTGCGAGGTCGACGTCACCTCGGGCCCGCCCACCTCCCCGCCCACGCTCCGCCCAGGCTGTTGACCTCGCCCAGCCCCAGTGCACGCCGGGAGTTGTAGTTCCCCAGGGCCGACCGGGCCTGCGCACGCGCCCTGGGCACCAACGCGGCCGCACTCCCGGATGGGGAAGCGGTCGGCGCTGCCACGCGTTCTCTGGGCCGCGAGCGGGGCCTTCTGGGAGTTGTAGTCGCCGGGGCGGGCGCTGTCGGTAAGGAGACGTAGCTTTCCGTGGGGTTCGCCGCTGCAGTGGTTGCCGGCGGACGGGTCAGGCTGCCGCCCTCCCTGCACCGCGCTCCCCCGGAGGCTGCAGAGGGCCTGCTTCCTCCCTGCGGCGTGTCCGGCCCTGGGCACTCCTCGCCCGGCGGTCCATTCCCTCCGGGACCGACCGCGCCCGTCCCTGCCCGCGGCCCCCGCGCCTCACGCTCCTTCGCTCCTTTCCCTTGCAGGATGGAAGCTTCCTGGCGCCAGGTGGCCGGTGGCCGAGGCCGGGCCCGAGGCCGGGGCTCCCCAGCGCCCTCCGGAGGAAATGGAGTCCCTCTGCGCGGCGCGGGAGGAGGGCGAGAGAAGGGCCCGGCGCGGGGCC